GTAACTTTAACTCTAATAGTGGTTGCTTGCAGCCTTGTTGGTATCATTGGTATTGTTTGTATTTTGAAATTTTATAACTTGTTTATGTTTTAAAATTTTTATACTTTGAAATATCCGAACTTTGATTTTTGATTTAACAAAAAGTTATAAGCTGTTTAACATTTTTATCTTTTTAAGGGCAAAAACCTGTAACTTTTTATTATAAAAAAACTTCAGAATACAACTCAATTCATCAGTATATGTACCACAGATTCAGGTAATGAAAATGTGGGTTCAGAAAATCTTTTAAGTACCTATTTATAATATATTTTTGCTGCTATTACTCATTTGTGTTTTAACAGTTTAGATTTTTCAGTTATTGGTCTTGTAATTTAATTTAATTTGAAACCATGTTAAAAAATCATTTAAACAATATAACTATATCAAAAATTACTAAAGAAATTTGGTATTTAAAACAGAAATTATTTCCTTATTATTTTTTTTTATTAAAACAAATTTATATATAACATAATAATCTTTGGTTTGCTATTTTTAATTAAGTTTTTATTATGTTTTTTACATTTAAGTTTTTTTTATGTATTTTATAAATTTTTTTTTCATGAAAGATTATAATTACTCATTTTAATAACATGTTTTAAATTTTTCAAAGAATATATTTTTTTGTTTATGTGACACAATGATTGCAAAAAGTGACCAGTTTTGTTGACCTAGGAGATAAAAACAATTTAGATGCTAAATGGCGTCATTGAATAAAAAATAAAAGTCATAAGAAAATATAAAATGAGTGGTAAGAATTTTGTGAAGGTGAAGAACGAAGTTAAATACTCGTAAGCAGGAGAAGAAACAACTAACACTCTAGTCACTCTGTGTGTAGATCAAATGTAACAAAGAACAAGTATTTGATATACTGATTTTAGAGACTGTTGATGTCTACAGGTGTGATGGTGTAGTGCATTAGTATATTATACATACATAAATATTATTGCACCAACATTTTTTTACCTCTTACACCCATGAATTTTTGCGCTTTGTGAGCTTTTTGTTATGAATTTGTTACCTTAATGACATTTATATATTTTTATGTTATGCAGGTGATTATCAGTTCTCAATTTATTATCTAGAGTTTAGACCATATACAGTACCACATATATTAGACTTTTTTTTATATATTGCTCCAAATATCATTTATTATCATTTTACTTACTATTTTGTTATCTACTTATTTTATTGTTTTCATATGGTGTGATTATTTTAGTAATGGATACCATTAATAAACCAGCGGATTTATATTGACTTGTTTACTCATAGATCATTGTTTTATCATTTTCTAAAGATGACTAGAGTGTGAGTTATGGTTCCTCTTTTCCTGAGTCGCTAACTTTTACTCCTCCTACTAAATAATCTTTACATTAATTTATGTATTATTATGTAATATATATTTTTTTTACCTAAAAAAAAAATATATATATATTACATAATAATACATAAATGACATCATCTGCAATCTGTTTTTATTTTCACATCTCCCAGGGCTACGTAACTGGACGGCTCCATTGGTCACTTTTTGCGATCTTTGTGTTGCATAAACAAAAAAATTTATTCTTTGTGGCTGGTGAGCCCAACTTTTTCCAATGTACATCACAACGACAAAACGGACGTTAGGCTATCCCACTGGATGTGGTTACGGCGATCAATAACCTAATGACACTGACACTCACGCACACGTTCATTCGGAAGCTCCACAATGCACATCTGATCAGCGCTCACTGACCATGTGCTCAGATCTGAAATCTCACATCATTCCACACCAGCACGGGGCAGTAGCTCTTTTAACTAAGAGTGATGGCTTGTGGCCTACGATGGCTTATGTGTGCATTTGATCAATTGAAATCTATTCTGTAGGTCTTACGTCTGGCTCTGATGTGCTAGTCCATAAGTGCAAGAAGTGAGTGTGTTTAGCTTTCTATTCACCCGATTTGAAAGTGAACGAAAACATAACAAAACCATGCTAGACAACCAAATGGTACGTATTAATGCACTATACCATCACACCTGTAGACATCAACAGTCTCTAAAATCAGTATATCAAATGTTTGTTCTTTGTTACATTTGATCTACACACAGAGTGACTAGAGTGTTAGTTGTTTCTCTCCTGCTTCCGAGCATTTAACTTCATTCTTCACCTTTATAAAAGTCTTATCACTCATTTTATATTTTCTTATGATTTTTATTTTTTATTCAATGATGTCATCTACAAATTGTTTTTATTATCACATTTTCAGGTCAACGAAACTGGACGGCTCCGTTGGTCACTTTCTGCGATCATTTTGTCCCATAAACAAAACAATTTATATATAACATAATTCTTTTGGCTTTTATGTATTTTATAATTTTTTTTTCATGAAAGATTATGATTACTCATTTTAATAACATTTTTCAAAGTTTTTCTTAGACAGAAAAAAGTTATTTGTAATTGACAAAAATAGCTGCACCCTCATATTTTTAAAATATGTGAACAAATTTGTCGCTTAAATTCAAGAAAATAGTTTTTTTTCACCGAGTTTCTAATATATAGAATAATATGACCTCAGAAGCTGTACATGCAAAAAAATATTTTAATGTTAAACTTCAACAAATATTTATTCTAAAAGGAACAACTATTTGTTTCCTTATAATTTTATAATTGTTTTTGTGGTGATATATTTTTAATTTATTTATGGGCACGCTGTCGGTGTCCATCTTTGTATGGACCTACGTGTCCTTTAAAACATATATTTGATGTTCAAATAATATCAATCTAATCTAAGCTAATCTAAAAAGGTTATAGAATTTTTTCAAGAAAAAATTTCAAAAAACTAACTCCGAGGATAAAATCTAAAGTTTTAAATTTTATCCTAAAATGTTCAATATCAATCAGTCAAGTCTTTCACTTCTCTTTACATTCTAAAGTTTTTTACTTGTTTAATATGAACATATAGTTTTTATTACTTTAAAAGTATTCTTAAAATGTTAGTATTTTTATATTTTTTAGAATACCCATATACTTTTAATACTTGACTAATACTATTACTCGGTTTTGAATAGTAAAATTATCAAATACTCATTCAATCAAGTATATTAGATGTAAAAATAAAGAAATATACTAAAAATTTTACAAGTTTCATTTAAAGACTCATATAAAATATTTTAAAAGCAGTTATAAAAAAGTTATTGTAGGATAACAGTCAATAAAATAATTTATTTTTTAAGTAAATAATTATGTATTATATTATAAATTAGTAATTTAATTTATATTCAAAAAGTTATATTTTAAGAAAAGTATAGAATTAAATGTGTTAAAGTTTAAACTTGTATTTTTTTGTAACAATCAATTAGCGACATCAAATGTTCTGTGAATGTTGATTTTGGTTTGATTGTCAGATTTGTCAGAAGTGCATTAAAAATTTCTAATGAAGCAGTTTTTTTTAAAAATTAATCTAATTGTTGAAACTCCTTTTTAACAAGATTTAATTCTTCTTCCCCATTTTTTGTTGTCAATGTATCAGACGATTTATTTGTTATTAACAATATTGCTTTTTGAAACTCTTGTTGTAAATTTAATTCCTGATACCTGATTCTTCAGTTGAACTTGAAATATTTATGTTTAGTTCTTCCCAATAAACATTCATGGGTTGATTCTTTTCTAAATTTTATAAGCCAATATAATGACAGCATTTCTTGATGAGCATTTGAAGTTTTCATTTAATTGTGGAATGTTACCTTTTTGGAAATAAATTAGCAATGTCGATAAAACATGTTTCTTCTCTCATTCATTCTTCTTTTAAACTGTTAGTTTAAAAGAAAAATGTTAGTTGCATAAGTTGGATTTCATATCCTCCAGCTTATCAAACATGAATTTATGCACGCTTTCAGTTGTTATAAGGTTTCCATCATTCTAAGCTTAGTTCCTTGATAGCTACTTCGGAAGGGCTTAAAGAGTATTACAGGTTGGCAAGTATCAGTTAATGTTTCATTAACCCAATGCATAACTTTTAAAAACCTCTTTAGTAGGACACATTAAATTCCAACATATTTTTATGTTTAGTTTTAGTTTCTGTTTTTTTTTCTTTCTAACTTTTGCAAAATTCGTGATAATTTCTTGTAAAATGGAACGTTTTACCTAAGAAGTTTTAACCATTTTTATGGTCGCATGTACATTCTTAACAATCTCTGAAAAGTTGTTATTCATTGGTATATAATAAAGTACTTCATTTTCATCTTTCTCGATATAAGAGTTGTAATCAGCCCACATTTAAAGGTCTTTTAATGAGATCATCATTGACAAAATAACTGTTTTCAGTTATTTTGTCAATGATGATCTCATTAAAAGACCTTTAAATGTGGGCTGATTACATTATTTTCAATTTGTGTCAGTGACATAATCATTGATTTTGTAGTTTTTTGTATCATGTTTCTTATAAAAACAATCAATTAGGTCTAAATGTAAACCATGGTTATGGCTGACCTGGCTTAATGCACCTAAATTTCCTCTATATTTTTTTTTACTGCTGCACCATTGTGGAATGATGCAATAGTGTCCTTTTGGATATCCAAACTAAAATTTCATTGCTCTAATAAATTAATTTTTTCTTGACCTTAGTCTTTCTTTTCATTTAATCCAATGATATAACTGGCAGATGTTTTTGAATCTGGCTTAACAAAAAGAGCATCAATATTTAAATATTTCATAATTAAAAAAATCTTGTTTACTCATCTACTGGAATTGATAAGATTACATTTTGAATTTACTACGAAGCTCTGTACTTTTGATTTAGAAAATGTTGTTAATTTAATTTGTTACAATTGTTGGACTTAATTAAATACTTTGTATTTTTTAAAATATTTTTATCAAATATTTTTGTTATTTTTTTAAATATTTTGTATTTTAAAATTAATTATGTTATTATTATCATAATAATAATTAGAAGAATTGTTTTTTTATATTTTATTTTCTTTTTTAGGTTGAAAAAGCAATCGACAAAATCAAACATGCTTGCTCAAATACTAATAAGAAATTAATAACATGTATGCAGGGGATCGGCGATCCTGATAAAAAAAAAGTAAATCTATTTGGTTAATTAGTTAATGATTATTGATTTTTTTAATTGTTTAACTTTATTATTTATTTATTTTTTTTTAACCTGTAATATACTATATGTATGTTTGTATTGTCTGAAACTCTGGCTTTGTGTTTGCTCACCAGTAAGTTACTATATGTATTATTGTGTTCCGTTGCTAAGGTTATTTCTCTCATAAACTTGTTTACTGTGGTCCTGACAACACTCTTGTCATATTCTTACAAAAGTGTTTTCCTGCATGCAGGAAAACAGTATCTGTGGTTTTAATTTTTAAAAGACTCTGGAGAAAATTCTGACCCCTATAACTATCGTCTAATCAAATTCTCTCTATTATTAGAAAAATATAATTCTCAATCAATCTTCTCTCTATTCTGCAAAACTTAAGAGTCAACAAATCTCTAACATCTCATCTTGAGTTTAATAACTTGCTTTATGACTTTCAATACAGAACTTCTTGTTCTATAGTTGATTTGTAAATTGTTATATTATTGCGTATTAGATGGTGACAGTAAGTCTAGAACTATTGCTCTTGACATATCAAAGACTTTTGATAAAGTTTAGCATGCTTGTTGTCTCCATAAGGTTTTCATAAAAATAAAAAAAAGACTTAATAATATTTGATTTGAAATAATATCATTTAATATAATATTCTAATTATAATAGTTACTATAATTTTATAATATTTATTGTATATATGTTTATAATATTTATATTATTTATAATATTTATTGTAGTTACTATAATTTTACAATATCTATATTAAATTTTGATATAGTTATAAAAATATTAAAGTTATATTTATTATAAATTTCACAAACAGAAAAAGTTAAATCAACTTCAATTGGGGTTAACTATGTTAGAAAGTGCTGAAGTTCTTGGTGAAGGTACTTTATTAAGGTAAGTTATTTATTTCATTACAAATAGACATTAAAAAAAGTTATATTATTTATAAAATAAAAATGGTATTTTACAATGACTAGATAAAGTCAACTATATCTAGTCATTGTAAGATAGTGTTAAAACAAAGCCTAAGAGAAAAGGTATAATCTCACTTGGAATATGCAGTGTTTGTCTGGTATTTTTATTTGATGACAGTAAAACTGCAGGAAATTTTATTCTTTATTAGTATACAATGAAGAACAACAAAAATTAGTAAACAATGAAAAACAACAAAAATTGATGAATTGAAAAAGTATTGCTACAAGGGTTGTCAGAAAATATTTGGCGTTCTTTAGAAACAGGATGAGCAAAGATTTTTCTAATCTTCCAATACAAATCCACATTAGTATAAGATAATCAGTTTAATCCATCACACAACAGCATTCTATCACTAATTAGAGGAAGTTAGAATACAGTTAATCAAATGGCACAGTGAGACCTTTTTGTGAGCCGTTAGATAAAAAGTATTTGGGTTTTATTGATTTATTATTATGAAGGACATATATTTTAATCCTTTCATCTTGAAAAAAATAAATTACCTATTTTAACTTTTTGCTCAATTTCAAAAATAAAGAAAACCGATCCACTGTTCCCCAACTTCCCCTATCACCAAAAATCTTGTGTGACACATGTACTGAGATATATCTTTTTAAACAAGAGTTACAGCAAAATTTGTAAACAAGAAACAGTAAAAATTATAAGAAACAAGAAACAGTAAAAATTATAAGAAACAATTAAAACAAGAAACATTTAAACAAGAATTAAAACAAGAAACAAAAAAAATAGTTAGACCTATACTATTTTAAAAATAATCTGTTCAAAGTCCCTGCGGAAATTTCCATAGGTAATTTAGCTTTTATGGGTGCAATCAGTGATATTTCCCCAAGTGCTTTGCATAAAGTTACGGGTGCAGTTCGAACTCAATCAGGAGCTAATCTGAAAGATTCCAAATGCAGCCAGTCTACAGCAGCTAGGAAAGTGAAATATGCAAATTGTAATATATGCATAATATCAAAAGAAGATGTTCAACAAGCAATGAATGAATCCCCATATCCATGCATAGTGCATTTTGATTGCAAAACATTAATTGAACTAAATAAAGGAAAAACAACTAAAACTGATATACTGGCTGTACTTGTAAATATTGAAGGTTAGACACACCTGCTTGGAGTACCTCTTTTAGTGTCATCCTCTGGTGAAAATCAGTGCAACGGTGTAATGGACCTTCTTAAGGAGTACAACCTTAAAGCCAAAGTAGGAGGAATATGTTTTGATACTATTGCAAGTAACACTGGGCTAAATGAAGGTTCTTTAATAAGAATATCCAACAATATAGGCAAATATCTTTTACTTATTGTATGCAGACATCATGTATGTGAATTAAGAATGGTTCATTTTTGTAATTCAGTTTCAGATGAAAATTCCACAGGACCAGATAATCCTATGTTTAAAAAATTAAAATTGTTTTTGAATGTCTTCATTTTAATTACAATTAAACAGAACTAATAAAGTTTGATTGGAAAACAGTAAGGAAAACCTTTTTTGAGAAAGCTGCACGAGTCTTTGAAATTTTGTCAAGAATACATTACAAAAGAAAAATAAAATAGAAATTTTAACAGAGAAAATAGAAAAAAGCTTGCAGAACTTGTTGTGAGTTACTTTTCTCTGTCTTCAGTAACACTAAGAAAACCCGGAGCAGTTCATCATTCTAGGTTCCTATTCAAAGCACTTTACTACCTAAAGCTACAGTTTCTATCCAGCCAAACTGAGTTCGTAAATCAGAACAATTAACTCAAGACAAAAATCAGGTAATAAGTGAATTTACAGTTTGCTTTTATGCTTTTATGGTATTTACTGGCTAATGACTCTATTAGAGCTCCCTTTCTTTGTATAAAAGCAATACACCAAATGTAACAGTACCAAAAAATGGGAAACGAAATTAGTCAAAATCCTTCTTCTCTTCCTCTGTTGGTTGATAAATTTTTATATCATATATTTGAGAGAATTGGATTAGAGGAACTAAGAATAAAAAGATTGGCTTTGGCTTCCCCCTGAGTATTAGTTTAATCAGTCTGTTTTTAAAAACTTTCAGAATTAAATCTTTAATTGTAGTAATTGTAGTAAAAAAATCATTCATAAAGATCTGTTGGAATGATGCGGTAATTTATTCACCAATACAACAATGAGAAAGATAAACAGAATACATTGCTAACTGTTGAAAAAGTTTGGTGTGCTTTCAGACTGGAAGACGTTCAAACTTTCTAAAAGTAATTTTATTGAAAGCTTATCTTCTCTTGATAAAAAGAAGAAAAGTGGTGAAAATGAACATAAACGTAACTGAGATTATTTGCTCTTGAAATTTAATCCAATAACATGAAACCATCATCAAATATTGTAATTTTTTCAATTCAAAATACGAAAATAAAAATATTTTTTGAAAAAAACATGATACTATGTATTTTTACTCAAATATATAGGTAAAAATAAACAACCCGGAAAAAAAAATTTCAAGTTTTTGTAACTTCCCTCCTGGACCTGTGAAATCAACAATTTTTGAAGGTTTTTTAAAAAAAAATTTTTCTAAAAAAGTACTTCAAGGGGTTTTCAAAGTTTTAAATTGGACCAGCTTGAGGAACATTTGGAGGATTATCACCCTTAGGAACGAATTTGATGTTGATAGCTTTTATAAAGTCTATGCCCTCATTTGCGTAATGATTACTAGCAAAGTCTAACCAAAGTATATATATTTGTGTTCATTATACATTGGTCTAATTAATGGAATTAATTTAGGTCTCAAGTATATGTTGATATAGTGTTTAGCATCGATTGAAATAGGTGATATTCTTCTATAAATGGTTTTGAGATACCGTCTTTAGAGATTGCAATCCAGACTAATACCTTTGGTTCATATTTCAATTTTTTTTTGTGTTTAATATCTTCAAGAGCTACACTTTTATAATCTATATGGTAACCATCATTACCTACTATTTCACTGTTACTTAAGGTAAAATATTTTTTCATCATCAATAATTGTTTTTATAACAAAAGATTTTGTTGCTGAGTTTCTTGAGGTTGTGATAATTTTTGCATGTTTTTCACTTATAAACAGTGCTTTTAGTTTTTTTCTGTATTGAATTCAATTTTTTTTTAAATATCAACTTATTGTACTTTGTAAAATATTAAATATTTTAGCTTCAGTTCTCTGATGTTTTCCATCTTTGTTTTTGAAAGATTTTCACTTGTAAAACATTCCCTTTATTACTTCCTAAGACATTGTTGTAAGTAATGCAAAGCTAAAGAGTAACATTAAGACATCAAAAGTACAGAGTGTTACTAATGAAGTCACTTAATTGTTGTTTTGCTGCTGATTTAATGAATTTACAAGCATTTTTTAAAAATTGTTTGTGTGAACTGTTTGTGAACAAGAAACAAAAAATTAAAAAAATTAAAATCAACTTGAAATAAGAATTTCAGAGTATTAAAGTGCTGAAAAATCAGTTTAAAGTTCATATTGTTATCAATTATATGTTCATATCAATAGATTTCTTAAGTGATTGTATTATGTTATGTATTTACTGCGACTGAATTCTGTTTTCTCCAAAAACTCTTAAATATAATATACATCATAAGTCATAAAACTCCTAAATACATCATAAAACTCCTAAATATAATATACATCATAAGTCATAAAATTCCTAAATATAATATACATCTTAAGTCAATCATAGTACATTAATGTTATAACGTTTTTTTCAAATACAAAAAAATATTTTTGAATAAAAATATTTTTTTGTATTTGTTAAAATTAAAACTAAACAATATATATATAAGAAAATTTTTTCTTTTATAGTTTTTGTTGTTTTAAAAATTAACAAAAATATTGATGTGTCTATTTTAGGGATGGACCGGAATTCCAGCCAGAATTAGTGACTTTTAGGTTATTCCGGTTCCAGCCAGAATTATAATATTTCAGGCCGGAATTTATCTTTTACTTTATTTGTTTAATACATTTGACACAGGTTGTGTAAATTAAATCAAAAAATCATTGTCCTACAGGACATTAAAGAACTTGAGTTAGTGGAGTGTTTTTAAACATTGGAAATTTTAAATGAAATAATGAAAGAAAAAAGATTTCTGCCCTATGCCGAATTCTTAGCCAATGTAGCAGCAATTCCTTGTAGAAGCAGGCTATAAGATAGTCGATGTAGCAACACTCCCTTTTAGCAGTGGATAATGTATAAGATAATGGATGTAGTAGCACTCCTTTGTAGCAGCAGGCTATAAGATGGTCAATGTGTGTACTAAAGCCAATAAATATTCTTTATGTTTATATTAAAAAGTCACCACTTTGAGTAAGCCTTAACACGAAAGCACAACAAGCGATAAAATAAAATTATTTTAGACCACATATCTGTATTATGACCGGAATTCAAAATTTCCAATCCGGTACATCCCTAGTCTATTTCTATTTATTAGTTTTGCATACTTAAAAATATAAATAAATATATTTTTATAATCTTTTTATAATATTTTAGCAGGAGCTAGATTATTAGAGAAACCATGGTAACTATTATGTTTCCCAGGTTTTTAAATAGTTTTGATCTAGCCCTGCTTGTGTAAGAATTTTTTGTTAAGCGTACTTTTATCATATGGTATTTTTATAGTTCAGTGTTATCTGCAGCTGGTGAAGCCCAATCTGCTTTAGCTGGTGAACTAGCTTCCTGCGAAGCTGAAATTGACAATCAAGTTCTTGCTCCGTTACAAAAAATGCTTGAGGTAATTTATTTATTGGTTATTATATATTTTAAATTTTGGGCAATAAGTTTTTTTATTTTATATAATATAATTTTAATAGTTATTTTGACAAAGCAAACTTCTCCTAGTAAAGCTTTATTTTAGTTAGGGAAATTTAAAATTTAAAATTAGTTTTTTTTTTTTAGTTTTTATGAGGGGTTTAAAGAAGGAAGGGGAAGAATTAGGATTACAGCACTATACAACAAATTTTGTAGTTTTAAAAAAATTCACAAATATATTTTTTATACTAATTCAACTGATTTTGAGTCTGGCTAAGTCCATCATCCATAACTTTTCAAAATAAAATAAATCTCCTTTGTATGGCATGTCAGGTTATTTTAATGTAATTACTGTGTATACACAATGATTAATAAACCAGGTTGTTTTAATGTAATTCTGTGTATATACATTGATTGATTCAACTGCTTTGTTCTCTAGTGATTTTATTCTACTATCTCATTGTTATTGTTTCTTCATTATTATGGTTTTTTTGAGGCTGCGTAAATCATTCTTATAGCTTTTTTTATATATGAAGTGAATATACAGTAAAGAAATATTAAAAAACCCTCACAAACAAATTCTAGCATAAAAGCTGTACTGAGAAAGAGATAGGTAGATAGACAGATAGATATAGAAAGATAGATATAATTAGATATAATTATAGGTATATATAATTATTGCTAATAATATTTTTTAGGTTGATGGTCCAAATATTGTTTCTACAAAAAAAAAACTTGCAAAAGCTTGTTTGGATATGGATGCTAGTAAAACAAGGTTACATCCATTTATACATATATGTACACTTTCTTCCAAAACATAAGCAACCAAATAGAGTTTTTTCTTAACTTCAATTTTGTGTATTAGTTATTTAATGTCTTATTGTTTTTTATTATTTTATTAGGTCTTCCAAAACATCAGTAACTTTTTCGTAACTACTACTACTACTACATTAAAAAAAATATATATATATGACATATCCTTTACTTTTCTTGATCATGGCACATTTTTTTAGACATTTTTCTTTTGTTTTATTTCAGTCTACATGGCTTCAAGAGATTCATATAGCTTGGTATTTTTAATTGATCTTTTATGTTAAAAAGAAAGTTCAATTTAATGCCATAAATTTTCAATTGAATTGAGATCAGGTTATTTTGTTATCTTGTTAAAATGTCCATAGAAGAGGCATATTATTATCAGCATGAGGAAACATTTTTCCTCAGAAATATGTCGATAAACAAATCGATTCATAATGTGATTTATTTAAAGGATAAGTCTTACTCTACTAAAACTAAAAAAACAAATCCAAACTATTGCACCTTTTTCCACAACAATTCTTGACCATTCCTTTTAATTTAGGATCTAAATATTTACCTTTAGGTGAACATACCTTTTTCAAATTGCAATCAATCAGGACCTTTCAAATTGTACCTTGAAAATATTATTTTTGATGAGACAAATAATTAATCTCTCAATAAAACTACAGGTTTAGTATGGTCTTTTGCCCTTATGTTCCGTTTCTAAAGGACTGCATTTATTGAACCATTAGATTATTTAAAAAACAATTGAATTGTTAATGGAGTATTTGGGAGCAATTTCTTTTTGTTTTACTTCTTTTTTATGTTCTAAGGCGATTAAATTATATTTCTTTCTTGTCATTATAAAGAACCAATACCCAAAGAAATCTATTATACGACAGAAATCTTTAATATTATAAAGTTCTCTTACCAAAGCAGTGTGAAATTGTGATCTCAAGTAAATATTATTCCCTATAGTGCGACACCGACCACAAAGATAAAAATTGAATTGTTTTTTTTTTAGTAGTTCTACTACTTTTACATTAAGCACACACAGGCTAAACAACACTTTTATTGATTTTTAGGTAGTTGAATTATGTACAAATCTTTTCTTTGTAGTATTAACAATTTGATCCTATTTGAAAGAAAAAAAAAAAATCCTCTCTTAAGTAATTGAGGTTTTAAAGATAGAATTTTCTATTTGGTTACTTATGTTTTAGAGGACATTATTTATAAATATAGATATTTTAAAATATATCCACCTCTCCAATGCCCTTGACTATAGTGGGTCACTAAAGGTGACCCTTGATTATTTGGAATCACTGTAGTCTAGGTGGCTATGAACAATTTTTTCTCTCTTAATACTTCTTTCAATTTTTACTATACCCCTTTCATAAACTGTAACTCAAAAGAACAAGCCTTGATGACCACTGCACACTTATTTTAGATTTCTCACCTAAATTTCTAAAAGTTTTCCATTAATTGAATAAATGTTATGTGGTTGAACTATGAAATTAATTTAAATTTGTGGTTCATTAATGAAACTCAGTGTTAATTGCTGTTATTCTTTGGTTTACCAAGACTTCAATATTTATATGCTTGGTTAACCTAGACTTCAATATTCACTACTTGGTTTACCAAAACTTCAATATTTACATGGTTGGTTAACGAAAACTTCAAAATTCATTACTTGGTTTACCAAAACTTCAATATTCACATGCTCAGCCTGAGCATATATTTTCTTTAAACAGTACTGGAAAAACTGTTTTGTTTACCAATGACTTAAGGTTTGAGTCAGCAGAAAATTGTCACCAATCTTTACAAGGAAATGTGACACCTGACTAAATCAGTTTTGACACAAACATTAAAGTAAAATCTTTGTGGAAGCAGTAGGTAGCTGTAATGTTTTAATTTTAAAGGTTCAAATTGCCCTTTATAACAAAAAACTATTTATCTCCTGGATTTAGTACAAATTTTTTATTGACATTTATGAAAAAGACCTGTGGCTCTGATTATTTATAATATAACTTATATATTATATAATATGATTTTATTATTAAACTCATAAAATTAAATTGAATTATAAAATAAATGCTAAAAGATATTAAGCATAAGTATATAAATAAATATAAGTCATGAAATATAAAAATAAAATTTATAAAAATGTCAGTTTTCTTTTATTTTATAAATAAATGCTAAAAGATATTAAACATAAGTATATAAATAAAAATAAGTCATGAAATATAAAAATAAATTTATAAAAATGTCAGTTTTCTATTTTTCTGTTTATTTTGCTTTTGCTATTTCGTGAAAAATTTTTCTCAAAATATTTTATACAAATAAATGTCACAAACGGCATAAAAACATGATTAGCAATGACGTGAATGTTTGTACAAATATATTACGAAATTTTTGTTTTTACATCGAATTTAATTATTCATGATTTATATCAAAGTCTTGATTCAATTTCTAATAAAATCAATTAATTGTTTGCCTTATTGAACTTTTAGTTGAAACGGTTATTGCATTTAAATCATTGTATAAGTATAGAGCTAAAGTTGTTTTTGATAATGTGGTGTCTGATATTTTGTTTAGCATGAAGTATTTTTATAATTATTTAAATATCTAAATTATCTAAAGTTATTGAAAATATTTTGTTACAAAAAAAATTTCCAGAAATTATAAAGATAGAAATGATTTCAACTAAACGTAACTTATAATTACTAAACCGTAAACTTTCTCATAAATAAAGTACCAAAAAAAAAGTTTAATGAGAGGCGTTAGTCATTAAATAAAACATTTAGAGTTATTTTTGATATTAAATGTAGATTGTTAGCGATAATCAGGAAAATGCTAGAATGAAATGCATTGAGCTTATCTATTAAAATGTTTTTTAATAGATGAGTTCAATATTCAATGATATGACTTGTATTATAAAGTTGTATTACTAATTTTAGATGGTTAAATGCAATCAAGCTTACACATAGTGCAAAAACAAATGTAAATGAAGCATTGGCTAAAGCGGAACTTTTAAAAGATGAACTAGAGGAAGCCACTTTACTTTTTCAAAGTCTTCAAGATAGTTTAGCTACTGACATGTTTACTTTTGTTGCTGGAGAACAAAGTTACGCCCAGACTATTGTCCAGGTTTCTTTTTTTTTATTTCGATATTTGTTGTTTTGTTTAATTTGTTACTTTTCACCCATTTAAAGTAACACCACCCATTCAAAGTAATCTTATTAAATAATTTTTTATAACCAATGTATAAAAAAAACACTTTGACTTACAAGTAGAAACAAGTCGAAGCTGTTTTTACTAAAACTTTTGACATAAATTTTTTGATTTATACACTTTGATTTATACCCTGATTTATATACTATTTTTGATTTATATACTTTAATTGTTACTTTAAAGAATTATTTTTTAACAACATTTAACTTTTTTAATTTATGTTTTTTAACTTTTTTAATGAGGGCTTGAGCAAATCCTGTTACAAATTAATTGCTTAACAAATTTAGCAATGAAATACTTGATATCAAAAAAACATTTTCTTGCTTTCATTTCTTTTGTACTTACTTTGAAGAGATGTTTTAAGGGGTGTAAATATCAAAAAGGGGTGTTTCAGTGTCTTTTTTAAGAAATACTGATTAAAACGTATTTAAGAAATATAAAGTATAAAGTAATAAATTAAATGTAAAGTATATAAATATTTTTTCAATTTTATGTTTGTACAATCAATAAAATCTGAACTTTATTTGTTTGTTTTTTTATATAATAAAATAGATATTTATTAATAAATATTTTTTTATGAAAATATTTAATGTGTTTAAAAAGTAATTTAAATTGTTTTAAAATTTTTTTTGAATAACCAAAAAAACTTTAACTCTTTTTGGCAACAACATGTGTGCATATGTGACAGCATCATGTGTGTATATGTGACAGTAGCTCAAGTGTGTATATGTGACATCAGCACGTGTATCGGACATTTCATAGTACAACAGTTTCTCAAGTTGCTTTGGCTTTTGTTGTTTAACTTAAAAAACAATAACAAAATAAAACATAATACCGAAAATATCAAAAATAATTTAAAAAAGATAATAATAATAATATAGTAAAAGTTATCAAAATTAATATTACAATAAATTAATATATAATGTAAATAAAATATATAACATATATAATATAATAAGAATATATTATAAAATTCTTTAAATTTTGTGTTCATTTTCTATATAAAAATTAAAAAGGCTATATTTGTTACTGCAAGTTTTTAAAAAAATATTAGAAATTTAAGCAAGTTTTTAAGTGATTATATAACTGGTCAGCTTTTAGAATCACAAATGCGATATCATGAAGCATCTCTCAAAATACTTCAACAGTGTGTTCCCAAAGTCAAACAACAGCTAGGTAATTTTGTGATATTTAAAATTTTTATTAGTAAAAATTTCTTTGTTGATTTTAAAACTTTATCTACGTAATTATGTAACAATATAATAGATATTATAAATGAACAATATAATAACAATGTACTAACAGTATATATTATATTATATTAATGTAATTTTGATTTTTTTGTTCTTTTAAAAATGCATATTTCTGGAAAAAATTGTAGAAGGAATTTAAAAAAAAAACTGTAAAAAAGGATTTTTTTTGTGTGTAAATGTACTAATAAAAAAATGCATTATGAATGCATAGTCACTTTAGCACTCCCAAAGAAACTTTTAACTACAAAAAAACATTCTTTTATTGACAACTTTTTTGATTGCACATGCTAAAAGTTTTTTTATTTGCTCAGCAACAAAATGATGTGTCATATATCATACAAAATGTAACTTCTAAATTTTCTCTATTTAAGATATTGACAGTATTAATAATTAAGAAATCAGCCAAACAATCAATAGAAACTTGTAAGAAATTTAGCTAATAATTTGCTATAGAAGTTAGGTAAACTTTTTTTTAGTTTATTTTTAGCTAAACATTTTTTTTTTCCAAACATTTCAAACTTCTAAAATTAGTTGTTTTTTTTTTAGACTTTGTAGATTTTTTAGTTGAAATTTTTGTGACCTTTGCGTTATAGTTATTGATGTTGTTAAACACAAATTTGAAATTTAATAAAAAATAAAATTTAAAAAAAATAACAAATAAAAAAAAACCTTTAAAAAATATAGTTGTAATGCTTGAAACTATTGTCAAGTGTTAATATTCAAAAAAAATGTCTAATTGGCAAAATGCTTTTTTGATTACTTATTGTTACTTATTGTAGTCTTATTGTTTCTTTGTAGTCTTATTGTTTCTATGTAGCCTTATTTTTTCTATGTAGTCTTATTGTTTCTATGTAGACTTATTGTTTCTATGTAGTCTTATTGTTTCTATGTAGTCTTATTGTTTCTATGTAGACTTATTGTTTCTATGTAGTTTTATTGTTTCTATGTAGTCTTATTGTTTCTATGTAGACTTATTGTTTCTATGTAGTCTTATTGTTTCTATGTAGACTTGTTGTTTCAATGTAGTCTTATTGTTTCTATGTAGACTTATTGTTTCTATGTAGTCTAATTGTTTCTATGTAGACTTATTATTTCTATGTAGTCTTATTGTTTCTACGTAGACTAACTTTTTAAAGATGTGTAATTAAGCTGGTGTGTCTATTGCCACCTTTGATATTTATTTCTAATTAAAAAACCATTATAGATTTTAATTTTTTAATTAACCCTGATTAATTATAATTCAATCTCAAATAATAATTTCTCAATACTATTTCCTAAAAATAAGAGTAAAATTTCAAAAAAAAATTAAATGAAAAACAAAAGCAAACAAAAAAGTTTTTTTTTTCTTTTTCCTTCAGCAGTTATCATTGAATCAACCATAAATTTTTAATATTTTATATCATTTCATTTTTCAATTATTTCATAATATTATTTTATCATTATCTAAAAATACTTAAATAAAGTTTTTGATATCAAGATGTTTTTCAAATGATTCATTAATTCATTTACTGATTTTTTATTTAAATTAATCTCTATGCTTGAAATTAGGGAGACTTTTCTGCTTGAATAAGCATGGTTTGTTTAACTTGTTTCTTTGCATAGAGACATTGTTTCCCATGGTATTTGTTTCTCAGTTACAGGTATTCGATACATTAAATTGACTCAACTGCTGGTTTTTGATGGAAATCATTTGTTAATTAATGAGCTTTCAAGCTATCAAATTAGAATTTTTGGTGTTGTCATTCATATCCATCTAAAATGTAATAGATAAAGCATCATTTATTTCGAATAATTTGTATAATGTTATTGTATATATTTTAAAATAATTATGAAATAAATTTTCTGCAAAAATGAAAAAATTTTATTAAATAACTTTTCTTTCTCAAAAAATTAATTAAAAATTAATTGAGAATATATTTATGAAGACAAATACCTTTTTAACAAACTAATACCTCTTGTAAACCAAATTATTGAAAGCCATTAGTCGAAAAAATCCATATTAATATATTTTGTCTAAATGAACATTAATGTAATTTGGTTTATGTGATATAATAATTTTTATAATGCAGGATAAAAATTTGGCAATCAATAAAAAAGTGCAAAAGTTGGATGATTAAGACAATGCCAATGGTTATTATTATTAGTTATCCACTAATATTATCCAAATCCAAAATCACAAGAGTTTCTCAAAAATCCCGAAGAATTCATTGTAACTATCAAAAAAAAAAGAAAATGTAAAAGCATTTTACCTTTTGCTTTGTAAAAAAAAAAAGTGATTTTAAAACAATTAAACACATTACTGGTTACTGGTTAAAAGTATACTTCAATACTGGTTAAAAGTATACTGGTTCTGCCAAAATTCAATTAATTAAACTTTTTTTAAGCTAGCAATCACTGGAAAAAGGTTAATACTGGTTCTGCCAAAATTGGCATTTAAACCTTGTTTAAGTTGAATATCTTTTTATCTTTTTTATTTTTTATGTTAATAAAATTTAAACTTTTACTTTACATAGTTTTTTATAACTTGTAACAGTTACATCATTTAAATGTATTATGCTTAACAGAGTCATCAATATGCAGGCCAGTATTTGGGTGTCCGTTGGAGACTCATTTGAAAGTAACAGAGCGAGAAATTGCTGTTGTGATTGAAGAATGTGTTTTGTTTTTGTTGGAATCGGGGATGGATGTTGAAGTAAGTTATTTTTTAATGCAGTAACTTTGATTTTACCATTGCTAGTCAAAATTCAAAATCAAAAAAAGTTGGAAAAATTTTTATGCTACTCAAAATAGGGAAAAATTGTTTGTTTAAGAAGATTATTTATTTCTATAAAGTTTACTTTGTTCAAAAAATGAAAAAAAGTTTTTTATAAACAAATAAAAATCTTTTATAAGTTGTATTTTACAAATAAAGTGTAACCTTTTTTTTAAAAGATTATCAAATAGTTTGGTAATTTTTTTGTTGTTTGAAAATGTTTGGGACAAATGTAAAACTATACTAAATATCAAAATGTAATGATTACCCAGTATTGGAAATCAACAAAAATTTTAATTAAATGATTGTTAAATACAAGTTTATTTACAAGCATGGGTATAAACAGTTTAATACATTACAAATATATATCATATATATTTTTGTTTTAAAGAAGTATTTCTGATTGTGTCTAGATCATATCTCATTTGTAATTATTTTATTATATTGTTTTCCAAACAATAAAGTTGTGGACTGGCTGACTGCCTCTCCAAATCAAAAGTCTCAGTCAACGAATGTTCACTCTGCTGCGCCTATCCCTAAATCAGTTGTTGTAAGTACACTCTTCCCATCCCTTAATCAGTTGATGTACACTCACTACCCTTTTAATTTTTTCCCTAAATAATTTATTGTTTAGCAAATTGATTAAATCATTGTGAGTGGGATATGATCTAGACACAACCATTACTAAACATTTCCATACTATTTAAATTAGTCTCGCCCATACAAAGTAATCTATAGTAGCATTCAATGTATTTTTATATAAAGGGTACAAGAAATATATTTATTAAATATAAAAGAGTGTGTCTTTTATATAAAACTTATAAATATTTAAATGTAAATATATATGTTAGAATAATATAAAAGTTTTTTTTTTTGTTTTGTTGTAATGTCTTACAAGATGTTAAACCCTCCGCACAATTTCATTTTATATATGTATAAAGGTTATATAATAGACACTAACAATTTCCAATTTATCTAAAAAAATCAATTGCATTAACCTTTATTAGATTGTTAAACTATAATGTGCAAATCTTATTTTAATTAAATTTTTTTAATTAAAATAAGATTTTATAATACAATTTACAACATAAACTATCGCGAATTATAATTAATGAATTTTTAAAATGAAATTTGGTTTAAAACATTTTCCTGCATATTTTCATATATAATATATTGTAAGTAATTTTCTTTTTTATTTTATAATTTTTTAGTTTGGGTCCTTTGAAAATGGATAGTTTTACATAAAAGCCATATAATTAGATAAACTTATATAAATAAAACATTTATAAAAAACAGGGTTTAAATGTTGCAATTAATATTTGGGTTTACATTTTACAAAAAAATGTTGCAATTAAATGTTGCAATTAATATTTGGGTTTACAGTTTACAAAAAAAAATTTCAGACATTTTTGCTTTTAAGTTATAAACAAAAAACATCTTTTTTGCTTGAAATTAAAACTAAATTTAAACTCTAAAAATCTCCAGAAAGATCTTTAAATCTAAAAAGATCTAAAAATCTCCAGAAAATTTTAAAATTATTCTTGATGAAAATCTTAAAATTATTCTAGACTACAAAAAAATTGAACAAGTTACTAAAAAAGCTTGCAAAATAATATTTCTGAAATCGAAAGAGAGATTATTTAAAAAGTTTAAAATTCTTCTAAACAAATTTGAAAATAAAAACAGTAGTAAAATCTGTATGTTAACAACCCAAAGAACGCTGTTTTAAACTTATGCCAAGAAACCAAAATGATCTTCCTAATCTTGGTATACATTTTGTACCTTTGTTGAAATATATACCTTATATGGATATTATTGCAACAACCTCGGCTTTAAAATGAGAATATAGCAACAAGATTGAAAATGTGCAGAATTTGAGAAAAAATGTTTTAAAAGAACTTAAAATGAGTAAAAAAATAAATCAAAATTTAATAAGAATTTTAACAATGAAAAAATTTAACAATGAAAAACTCTTACGGATTCTAAGGAAAATAAAATTATCAATATCCGTTTGATAAGGATAATGGTTCTGTAAGAATAGTACATATTAAAGCTTTAGAAAAAATTTGAGAACAAATCAGCCTAATGAGAGTTTTAAATGAAGATCTCACATCTAGTTATGCTATTAAAACTTATCTCTCAACTTAATAAAAACAGTGATTTTCATAAACGAAATATCCTAATATATATCCAAGTGATCCAATCCCGCCTCGTATGTATGATCCAATCCCGTCTCGTATGTATGATCCAATCCCGCCTCGTATGTATGATCCAATCCTGCCTCGTATGTATGGTCCAATCCCGCCTCGTATGTATGGTCTCACAAACCTGAAAAATCCTATGAGAATAGCATCAACTATATAATATCAACTATTGACATTCCTAATTAAGGAATTTCGAACTACTTAGTAAAGAAAATACAACCTGTCTTATACAAAAATCAAACACGTCTGAAAAATTCTTTTGATTTTATTAGTAAAGCATATTCATGGGAGATTGACAAAAATGAGGTTTCATTTGATGTAATAAACTTGTATCCATCAATACCACAAGGAAGCCACTTTAATTTTTTTAGACCAATTAAATAAAGATGATTCCTACAAATATTCTACCAAGCTTACTATATCTGAAACAAGACAAATCACAGAGCTTTGTTTACACTGTTGTTATTTCCTGTGGAACAATGAAATCCATGAGCTTGAGAATTCTGGTCCTATAGGTCTTTCATTCATGGTCGTACTTGCAGAATCATTTTTATAACGTCATGAACAAAATGTTTTTAAAATTGCAATGTCAGTAAATTCTACTCTTGACCTAAAATATTATCTAAGAAATGTCAACAATAGTCATGCTAGATTTTGCAAAACTCAAGAAGCAGAACAATTCCTAATTATCTTAAACAAACAACACCCTGAGATACAATATTCTGATCAAAACTGAAAGCAAAAATAGAACTCTAAACTTTTTTATAAATATCAACAAAGGAAAATACAAGTTTAAAGTTTATAGAAAGGAAGCCAGTACTAATATCCAAATTAAACCTCACTCAAATCATGACCCTAAGATTCTAAATGCAATATTTAAAGGTTATGTTCACAGGGCTTATTCTTTATGCAGTAATTTATATTAACGAGATGAGATTAATTTCCTTATTCAAATGTTTAACGAAAATAGGTACGACATATGCCAACTTAAACAGATTGCAAACGTAATTGGAAATAAACGGTTCCTAAAAATCAACAAAATTCAATCAGACTCTCTTAACCTCCCTAATGTATCGTTACCCTAGATACCGCCACTATCACCAAAACTATAGAAAATATTTTGGAAAGCTGGCTATAGAGTAGTCTCCAAATCAAATCCAAATTTATAAACATTACTAACATTAAAAAACAAAACTTAACTGCCTCATAATATCAAATCGGAACTTATTTGATTGAATTTATTTGAAGGACATCGCTCTTGACATTTTTAAAGCGTTTGATAAAGTTTGGCATGCTGGTCTTCTCCATAAGCTTTCTTCTTACGGTGTATCTGGAAACATCTTCAAGATTATTAAATCCTTCCAATCGTAGTATGAAAGTTGTCGTTGATGGACAGCACTCTTCTTCTTATTCTGTAACCTCAGGGGTTCCCCAAGGTTCAATCCTTGGCCCTATACTCTTTAATTTACATTAACGATCTTCCAGATATTCTCACTTCTAAGGTGGCATTGTTCACTGATTATGCTACTATTTATTCTTGTCACGATAAGAAGCCAACTCCCTCTGATTGCTTGCAGGGGGCATCTGAGCTTGAAAAGGATCTCACTTCTGCTACAGCATGGGGCTCACAGTGGCTAATGAACTTTAATTCAGATAAAACTCAATTTTTTTCAGCCAATCGTTATCGCAATAATTTAGATGTTCCTATATTTATGAACGGTAATGTACTCGATGAGTCTCCTACCCTTCATCTTCTAGGATTAACTCTTACTTCTGATCTTTCTTGGAAACCTTATATCAAATCCGTTGCAAAATTAGCATCTGCTAAAGTTGCTTCTCTTTATCGAGCTCGACACTTACTCTCGATTCTATTCTCTATCTCTATAAATCTCAAATCCGACCTTCTATGGAATACTGTTGCCATATCTGGGGCGGATCTTCTAATGATGCCCTTTCTCTTTTAGACAAAGTGCAAAAATGCATTATAAACGTAGTTAGAATTGCTCTTGCAGCCAACCTTCAACCTCTGTCACGTTGTCGTAATGTTGCTTCTCTTTCTCTTTTCTACAAATACTATAATAGGCACTGCTCTAAAGAGCTAGCGTCTCTTGTGCCATTTACTAAAATTCATTCTCGTGTCACTCGTCATTTAATTAAGTCTCATCCTTTTTCTGTTACTGTTCCTAAGTGCTCCAAAAACTCTTATTTGTCTAGTTTTTTTCCTCAAACATCAGTTCTTTGGAATTCGCTTCCTTCATCTTGGTTTCCTGATTCATATAATTTGCAATCTTTTAAGTTTTTTAAATTCATATAATTTGCAATCTTGCTCTACAATCTTTTCTCTTCCAGTAACTTCCAACACTAATTAGTGGTTGCTTGCAGCCTTGTTGGAAGCGAAGATGTTTAAAAAAAAAAAAAAAAAGAATGCAAATGTTCAAAGAAATATGTAGACGAAACTAAACTTCAAATTAGTACTCCAACTCAGCAACATGTAAAAAGTTTAAACAATAGAAACAATATCAGACTCATAATAAGTTTTGCTCACAAGAAATAAAGTGAGAAAATGCAAAAACAATTAAAGTGGAAATAAAAAAAGTTTGTGAAAACTAATTTTTGGACTCTGTTTTTTACATTTTTATGTAAGCAAGAAAACAGCTATTCAACTGCTGACCTCAGTTAATTTTAAACTATTTCTAACTTTACAAAAAAATATTTTGTACATTTTTTTACGACCTGATGATGCTGGGAAATTTCTAATAATAAATTATTAATTGTATTAAGAGAATTTGTATTAATTGATGTTTTCTTACTAATATATATATAAATATATATATACATATATATATATATATATATATATATATATATATACTAGGTTGGTTGAAAAGTTCGCGGAGCGGCACCTATGTTGCAGTAGTAGAAACAAATTTATAACTGTATTAAACGTATTCATTCTTCGTATGAACGCATAAAAAATTTCAAGTCGATATGTCATTTCAGTCTTTGTTTACAAGCTATTGAAATTAGACGTGTCATAGTATTTTTTAAAATGGAAAATATTGAACATCGTGCTGTAATAAAATTCTTTGTGAAAAAAGGTTTAAAGCCCATGGAAATTCATAATGAAATGGTAAATGTGTTGGGTGATGATGCTCCTTCAAAAACAACAGTATGCAAATGGGCTGCGGAGTTTCAACGTGGGCGTTCAAGCCTTGAAGATGACCCTCGCTCTGGACGTCCAAAAAGTGCTACTACTGAAGAAACGATTAATGCTGTGCATGACATGGTTATGGATGATAGACGATTGACCAAACGTGAAATTGCTGAGGCTGTGGGCATCTCAGATGAACGGGTATTACACATCTTGCACGATGAATTACGTCTGAGAAAGCTGTTGGCAAGATGGGTGCCGCATTCGCTAACTCTGGATCAGAAACGCACTCGAGTAAAACTTTCTCAAGAACATTTGGCCCGTTTTCAAAAGAATAAAACAGATTTTGTGCGTCGATTCGTAACCATGGATGAGACTTGGGTTTACCACTATGATCCGAAGCTGCGACAACAAACTGCAGAGTGGACAGAACCCGGTTGTTCAGCTCCGAAGCAAGTGAAGGCGTCAAAATCGTCAAAGAAGGTTATGGCATCAGTTTTTTGGGATGCGAAAGGAATTTTATTAATAGATTACCTTCAAACCGGTAAAACGATAACAGGTGAATATTATAAAAATCTTTTGGACCAGTTGGATAAAAAAATTCGTGAGAAAAGACCTGGTTTGCTGCATAAAAAAATCATTTATCACCAGGACAACGCACCTGCTCATATCAGCGATGTTGCAAAGGCGAAATTGGTCGAATTAAAGTACGAACGCTTGGAACATCCACCCTATTCACCAGATCTGGCTCCGTCCGACTTCCACCTCTTTCCACATCTCAAAAAATTTCTACGTGGAAAGCGTTTCTCATCACATGAAGAAGTCATTGCAGCCGTAAATGGGTATTTTGAAGGCCTTCCGGAATCGCACTTCAGAGATGGGATACATGAATTGGAGAATCGTTGGAAAAAGTGTATTGCTCTTAAGGGAGAATATACTGAAGAATAAAGTCATTTTTTGAATCATAAAATTGTTTTTTCATTTCCGCTCCGCGAACTTTTCAACCAACCTAGTATATATATATATATATATATATATATATATATATATATATATATATATATATATATATATATATATATATATATATATATATATATAAAAATTAATCATACTGATAATTATAATTTATGTATTAAATTCTATAATGTTGTAACTGCTTTATGAAGAAAATGAATAAGCCTAATATTTATTAATAATATATTAATGTTTAAAGTTATAAAAATGTATTAATGTTTAAAACTATAGGTTTGGGTTGGGTCAACCATTGTTTTTTCATTGTTCTTCTTTTTTTTTTTTGTTGCGAAAAACCGTATGAAATAAAAGGCGGCAAATAAAAGGCGGCAAATCTCTGTATTGCTATAGTAGATATAGTATGTATATACACTATCGTCCATAAATATTTTATTATAAATAAAAGCTGAAAACATAACAAAAATTAATATATTTTATGCCACTCACTAGTATGTTTTTTCTACAGTCATTGGTGGTCCATTTTTTATGTAGTTTTGCCCATTTTAGCATTTTTATTATTTTCATGGTTTTTATCAAAGCGTGTCAACTCTACCTGTTAACTCTACCTGTTACACTTGGGTCAACTCTACTTGTAATAACTGTACTATCTATAACAATTTAAATATAAAAATCTATAACAGCTATTATAACTGTCTATAACTATCTATAACAACTGAACTATCTATAGCAACTGAACTGTCTGTAACAACTGAACTATCTATAACAACTGAACTATCTATAACAACTGAACTATCTATAACAACTGAACTATTTATAACAACTAAACTATCTATAACAAAGATAATGAGTAACTTATTGATAAAATAAACAAAGTGAATTAAAAGTGAAAAGATATAAAGTTTAACAGTGAACAGAACAAAATACAAAAGTGAACTATAACAGTTAAAAAAAATTTTAATTTTTTTATTTTTTATTTGTTTTAACTTTTTTTATGTTTTTGTTGTTTTATTTAGATTTTTTTTTTAAGGGTTTGTTTAGACTTGCTGGTAGTGTTTCAAAAGTAAAGAAGCTAAAGGTTTATTGTTATATTATTATATTATTTGTGTTTTTAGGTACTATTTAATTATTTGATATATTGTGATATGTTTAGGAATGATAGTTATTTGTGAAGTTATTAATTCTATTATAATTGTGGCTGTATCAGTATATTTATCAGTATTTTTACTTTTATTATTATGATTTTTTAAGTAATTTACTTCCAACTTTTTAATTTTAATTTCCCAACAAGGCTGCAAACAATCAATATTTAAAATGAGTGTAACCAGAAAACAAAGAATATTGTAAAAGAGCTAAAAAACGATTAACAGCAGACTTGAAAAATTTTAAATTTTCAGGAAAACATGAAAATAGCAGAGAGTTCCAAAGGATTAATATGCAAAGAAAGAAACTAAATGAGTAAAGTTTTTAGAGCATGAAATGACAGATGCAACTTTGGTGAATAACAAGTCAAGTGAGAATGAATTTTGGTCAATAGAACGAGAGATAATAACTTGTTTGAGCAGCAACTATGATTAAGGGCTGAAATAAGTCCTGGATATTGCTGGTCCTTGGAACATTCTTAATACCTGCTAGTGGAGGAAAACCAGCCATTGGTTATTTTGTCAGAAATTATAAACAATGGTTGGTTGCTTAACCCCCCCCCCCCCCTCAGACAAGTTTAAAAATTGTCTGGAGCACTATGTCTAGCACTTATTTTGACCCCTGCTTATGATAATAGAACATGGGCTCAAGCTTGGCAAACAACTGCATTTACAATACATTTTTGTCTATAAGAGAAAGGCCATTATTAGAAGAAATAGCCTAAAGATGATAACAATATTTTAGGAGCAAATATAAAGTTTTTAGAGGTAGACAATGGAATCAGGAGTAAGCCCCAAACTGTTACAGAAGAATGATGAGATTCAGGAAAACTTAAATACTATGGTTAGAAAAAAATGTTTTAATAATTTGAAAATTTTTCCCAGATACACCATATGAAGCAAGCATATAGAGAAGCATGCCAGACTTTATTGAAACACTTTGACATGTCAAGAGCAATAACCCTTGCTTTTGATGCCCCTCCCCTCGCTTTTCCAAACATCGAAAAGAGTGCTGACTTTCACTATCACAAATGAGAACAAATAAAAAGGCAATTGGTTGAAGAGGAGTGAAAACAGAAACAATTAAAAAGATAGTCAGAGGATTTAAACCAAATTTCACTACAAACAAATCAGTTGATGTATATATCCAGGCCAAGCATGTCTTAACGAATTAAAGACTCCAATAATCATTTAATGGATAATTGCTAGTAGTATTAATACATTTAGTTATAAAAAAAAAAAACTATAAAATTAATAATACTAATAATTCAGAATTACTACTGAGATCCAAAGATGAAACAGCTGAATTTTAATTACTATTATAAATACCATTATTTTTAATTTAAGAGCAAGTCTGGTAAAGTTACTTTAAAGATTGCAAGTATTAGTAAAAAATAGATTTACCCAATTAGGTGGTGGTGATGGTTTTTTTAACTTAATTATTTTCATGTACTTTAGATATGTTTTAAGTTATTAGAGAGCTTGATCATTGATAGTGAATGGTACCCTAAGCAATGAGCTATGCTGTCCTGCTAATTAGCTCAAAGTTATAACAAAGGACTCCCATTATGGCCAACTCCAAAAGCACTAACAGGGACCCCATCATTTGCAACATGACACTATTGATATTCTGATGTTTTACAACTGATAACGAAATTTGTTTCTCTGATAGTTAACACAGAGTTTGGGAAATGTTACTATCAGTTGGTCTCAGAATCATCAAACTGATGATTCTGAGACCATTTTAGAGCTGTACCCTCATTAAGAGATAACATGAAGTATTGCACAGTCAATAAAAAAGAGGTTCAAGCAAAAACCCATATGTAGATGATTGAGAAAGTTCAGCATCCTAGCTATTAAACAACTTAACACAGATTTATATTTATGTCAACTTAATTGATAAAAAAGGGGGTGCAAGGTTGGTCAACAAAATTGCTTTTCTTACCCCTGATGTCTTTGCCTAAAAAAAGCTTGTTGTTACAATACACTGACTTACTACATCAATTTTTCTTTGAGATAAAAAAAAGGAAATCATTTTTGATTTTATTTAAGGCAACATTTGATGCAGGTGTTGGTGGTTTAGAAGATTTTCCATTTGAAGTTCATGTAGTAACAGGTTTTTTAATTTTCTTGTTTTTTATTTCCTAATGTTTAAAAAAAAATTAGCTGAGAACACACATACTTATTTCTTTTGTTTTAAAAAAAAAAATCATATTTCAGCTGTACTAAAACTATATTTGCGAGAGTTGCCAGAACCATTACTCGGGTTTAATCTATATGACGAGTGGATAAATGCAACCAAGTACTTACCATTTTTATTTTTGCTTAAAATTTTTTTTATTCTAAATCAGAAACTTGATAATAAAATACCATGGCAGAGAATACAAAGTTTCCAAGCAGCTTTATTTATTTTTCAGCATAAGAGACCATGATCAAAAACTGAATGCACTTTGGGTTGTTTTGCAACAGCTTCCTGAAGCAAACAAAAACAATTTAAGGTTTTCTGCATTTTTTTCTATGGGTCTTATACATTGAAAGTAATTTTATATTAATTTTGTGCGCATTTTTTATTAATAGATATTTGATATGTTTCTTATCAAAGTTAGCAGAAAATTCAGAAGTTAATAAAATGAAATCCAGCAATATTGCAATTGTTGTAGGGCCAAATTTATTATGGAACAATCTTGAAGGAGGGTGAGACTTTACTTTTATATGTATAACAAAAGTATATATAATATATCATCATAATCATTTCAAAAATGATCATGATGATATATTATATATACTTTTTATATATTTACTTTAAAAAGTTTGTAAAAGTTACAGCATTTAAGTTTTGAACATTTTTCAAAAATTAACTCTACGATGACGATTGTAACGATTACTTTTTAACACTTTTGAACAAAACAAGTTTGTCAGATTTAATGCAGTGAACGGCTGATGTTATTATATGCTGAGTTTCATAGTTTTTACTTGAAGTTTTGTAAGCATTTTTATGTTTTTTATGTTTTGTTGTGACAGCCATAACAAAAAATTCAATGTTTAAAAACAACAAATAAAACAACACAATCAACGATGCAAGAAAAAAAGTATAAATGCTTATTAAAAACCATGTATGATATGTTAAAAAATTGCACTATAGCATTATCAAAGTTCTCAAATATAGACATACGATACGATTTTTAATCTTACACAACAGGACTGTAAATAAGCGTCAAAAAACGTTTATACAATCCTTACAACTTTAAAACCATGTTTTAAAGTTGTAAGGGTTGTATAATAACTTTTTGCTTTAAAGTATTTTTAAATAGTTTAAAAAAAGACTATATATATATAGTTTAAAACTGTTTTAAAAATTATAAAGTCCTCAAAATTTAATGTGTCACCATTATGTTAGGGTTAATAAGACTGTACTCTAGACTGACTGAAAATATAAAAATTCTTGACTGACTGTTAGTATAATATCTCTAATTTATTTTAATTTCATCTATTTTAGTATAACAATCCAACATACACCTAACATATCACAAATTACAGAGTTACTTATTGACAACTGTTCTTGGTTTTTTCCTGAAGGTAAGTTTTTATTTATATGTTTTTATGGTTTGTATAGTGTATGAAGGTAAGTTTTAATTTATGTTTTTATGGTTTGTATAATCTATGATCATGACATATTACAAAAAGAATATATTTAAATTAAAGCAAAACTAATTGAATTTTTTTTTTAATAAATAACATAAAAGATTAAAAGAAAATGTTTTGTTTAAGGATGCAATTTTGTTCGTCAACAGATACCTGATGACAAACTTGAAGCATTGAACAACAGGTATAACTCTGATAATGATGTATCTGTGGCTAGCAGCAATGAAACAAAAAAACACAGAAAAACTAGCGCTCCAGAATGTCAAAAGTATGTTTTAAATTTATCTATATGATGATAATATTTTAGAAAAAAGTTAATTTAATTTTTTAATGACATGCTTGGTCTTTACTAAAATATTTAGTAAACATAAAATGTTTACCAAAATGATTCAAAATTTTTTTTATTTGTGCAAACGTTTGTGCAAATGGTTGTTAATTAAATCAAAATTTTTCAGATCTCTTTTATTTGCTTTTAGTCAAGCCGCCATGCAGGGTTACTATAATCCTTTAGCCTCACAGTTTGATATTGATCTTGAGAAGATAGACCTTGAATCAAATAATGATGAAAAATCTACACCTGCAGTCATTCCTCATCTAAACAAAAGCCAGAGTTTATGTATTGGTATTTTTATTAAGTTTTGTTTTTTGTATTCAACTTTGTAATCAACTAATTATCTAATGGTTAAACCAACATTAGTAGAACTAGAAAACACTTCAAATATTTTGTAACAGTTTGAAGTAATATCATTGATGATTTTGTTTTAATGTATTCAAGTTTTGTTTCAATGAAATTTTATTTCTACTAATCAAAGGATAAATATAAGTTTTAAGAAAAACTCTTTTATTTTCAATCTGTTCAAAATTTGTCATTAATTTAAAATAGAAACACGTGTGTAGTGGATTTTGGGTCTAGTAAAATAATGGAACATTTATTAATTTCAAGAAAATTTCACATTTACTTTTACTTCTAAAAGATTTATTCTCGAATAAATTTAAAGGTATTTACATTTCATAGCATGTTCTAGAAAAACAAAATGGTGATATGTTTTAGAACATTTGAGAAACGTTTTGATAAGTTTTGATCAGCTCAAATATTATTTCACAAAATATTTTATTTTCAATATTTTACAATTCCATAATCAAATTGGACTTATAAAAACACAATAAACATTTGTAACTTAAAAAGCGAACTTATTTTTAAATGTTTCATATGTGTTTTATTGTTTTATGTTTATTTATATATGTTTTATATAAACATGTTTGGCATTAAATGAATTTTCAGGAAGGAACAATATTTTGACAAGTTTGGGATATATATGTATATTTACAATAAATGGCTAAAATTTGTCAGCATAATGTTTTGGTAATTAATGATTAATTACCAAAATTATGATTGAGATATGTTACTAAGTTTCAGTTGCTTGAATGTCATTGTATGGGCAAGCATTACTTGAATGCCATTGTATGGGGAAGCATTACCTGAATGTTATTGTATGGACAAACATTACTTAAATGTCATTGTATAAGCAACCATTACTTAAATGTCATTTTATGAGCAACTATTACTTGAATGTCATTGTATGGGCAACCATTACTTGGATGTGATTGTATAAGCAACCATTACTTGAATGTCATTGTATAAGCAACCATTACATAAATACCATTTTATGAGCAACTATTACTTGAATGTCATTGTATGAACAAGGCATAATGGAATTTGGTATAGAAATGTAAGTAAACTTAATCTTAAACTGAAGTTTAAAACATATTATTAATTTTGTCTTAAAAGTTAATAAATTATTTTTAATAATTAATAAATAGTACTCTACAAATACAAGTAAAATATCCAATAACGATGTTTTATTTTTCTGTTTGTTTCATTTTTCTGTTTTCTAAAAGACAAAGCTATAAATCTTACCTTTTTTTTTTATAAAGAATTGAACAAGATTCATGTATTACCTTCTTTTAATTTGATGCGGTTATAGCAACATCTAACCTACTTGGTTTGATGAGGTTGTTCAGACTATTATCTCACTACATCTTCTATGTCGGATTCAGTCTATCATTACACCTCTTACTTAAGACTAGCTAGGATTCCTTTTTTGATTTTCATTGTGATTGTCTTTCTACAACTTGTAAAGTTTAACCCTTCAAAAACACAGTTGGCAATAGTACAATAATAATGTTAAAATAAATAAATAGTAGTAGTTGTTAACAGTTGGTAATAGTACAATAATGTAAAATAGATAATAGTTATCAAATATTTTTTGATATTTATTTGATCTCTTTTTTGATCTGAGTGGCAATACTCTTCGAATTGAGTCTTTTATTTTTATTGAATTGCAGAAAAAGTGATTTCCATGGACATTATGTACAAATTTTATACTTTAAAAGTTAAATTTTAAAGATTATCTTTAAAAAGACTCAATTATAAATGAGTTGTCAACACAAAAAAGAAATTTTTGGACTTGATTAGACGAACTACTCAAATTGTTGGACTTGATTAGACGAACTACTCAAACTAGAATATTCATTTACGCTTATATACTTTATAAATTTATTAGAATTTTTTTCTTTTATCACGTTATGCTACATTAAATTTTTGTTTTGAGAGCTTTTGGAGATGTTTAACTGGATTATCTCTAAAGATGTATACTTTACTTTGTTTGTGATAACATCAACGTAATCGTAATTGTAACTAAATGGAAACAACTTTGATACAATTCAACAGTGTATACAGCGTATATTCAGTATTATCCGTTCAAAAATATAATTCATATTATCTTTGATTCCTTATACCTGAAATGTTTGCAATAATATGGATGTTTTGTATCCTAAATCATTTTTAATAATTTACTTTTAGATTCAAATTTTGTTCTTAAATTTTATTTTTATAAAAGAAATGTACATAAGTTTTTTTTTACTTTAAAAGAGTTGTATTTTTACCTTAAACTTTACAACCGTGATCTGTGCCATGAAATAAAAACAATAACAAAAAAGAATGGTATGTTAACGTATTTATCTAAGTATTGTATTTATTAAGTTTATTTAATGTAAAATAAAAAAAATATTGTAAACAGTACTTTTAAAAGTCAAAAAGTATTGACTTAAACACAAAGCGTATTCTTAAGCGTAAGTTGCAAGAATCGAATGAAACTTTATAGTATACAATTCAACAAATTACCAAGGTATGTGCTATAATTATAAACTTGGTATACGCAGTACATAAATTACGAGAAATATCAAATAATAAAGAGAAATTATCTAAATGTTAACATTCTATAAATTGAAAAATAAAACTATATACCATAGACTTGTATACCAGAGGTATACAGTAGATATGTTACATTTCATTTTGATTTAAATTCGATGTTTTTATTTGTTATTGGTTATTAGGTATTGATTAGGTATTGGTATTAGGTATTGATTTTTAATTAGAATGATATTATTAATATATTTTTCTTTACAGTATCAAATGAAGATAAAGGGCATCGACGTTTACCAAGTAATGGTGCAGCTCCTCGCCGTCCAGCACCTCCAGTTCCTACTGCTCCAAAAAAAGTTCCATCCGAAGGTCCTCCAAAACACAAGCCACCAGATATACCAGTTTCTCCTACTATGCGAAATCCACAGTTAAAATCTGACAATCCATCAAAGCCTACTCTTTCCGCTCTTGCTGATCGTCGGAATTTAGAAGACAAAATGGAAACTTTACCAATCGACTAGCTAAACGTTTATAGTTTATGTAAATAAACGAAAGCCTGGATTCTTAGAGTTGTTAATATTTGCGCACTTCATGTCAATTGTACACAAATAAGATTTCTAACATTTTTAATACCGTCTCGGTATTAAAAATCGTAATTTAAAATCAATTAATTTAAATTGAATATCCGTTCCAATATATTTTAATACAGCAAACTTAACGTAAAATGAATAAAGTATAGCATTCTAATTTATTTTTTTACTAAAACTTGAATACGTTAAGCTACTTTGAGTCAATACATTACTATCTTACTCAAATAAATAGGATTTTGTCGTTTGTTATGCTTTAAAATATAAATGATGGTATTAATCTTAAATAAAATCAGTAGACAGATATTACTTTTCAATGCAGCTTGTTTTGTTTGGGTTTTGTTTATAGTTATTTACAAACGGTCCGAATGGTGAAAAGATTGTTAGTTTTTTATATTTTTATTATTTTTCTCAATATTTTATAGATTTTGTATAGACTGCTTTAAAATTTTAAAAATAATAAAGTTCTGTGAGAAAATTTTTTAATACTTTTTCTATAATTTGTTGTTGCTTTTTTCAAAGTTAAAAAGATTTATAGTGAGAAAAGAAAAAATAAAGGATTTAAACCCGACTATTTTTCTATATTTGGAATTACATGCTGGATTTTTCAACGTAAATAAAATTTCAATCAAATTTCTTTTAAAAAACTTTTAAATTATTTTTTACATTTGATCCGAGATTTCGTCATTTAAAGATAATTGCATTTTAGCATATCCGAGCTTTCTTGATTCAGTGGTAACCCGATTTTGCATTTCCGTGCTTTCAACATTTAATAACTATCAGACTTTTGCATATCCCAGGATCCTAGGTTTGTCATTCAATGATTATCGGCTCTTTGCATATCCAAGGAAAACTCTTTCAGATTCTATACTTGTAGATAGAATTGTGTTGAAATTTTTTTAAAGTAAGGAATGAGGCTTTGTGGTAAGACCGTAGGGTTTTTTGGAGCACCTAAAATAAAATAATAATAAAAAAATTGTCGTAACATTTTGTTGGCTCCCTTTTCATCATTTTCAAAGTTTAGCTTCTATTTTATGACTGTAAAAAATTTTGGCAACAAAACCATGCAACCAGGCTGATCTGATTCTCAATGTCTCACTTTTAAGTAATCACTTCTGTAATTTTGTGTATCTGTAATGCTGTGACATAATTAAATAAGAACGGCAATGGAAAATTGAAGATTGATCAAAACTTATGAAGATGTTTTTTTTTTTTAATTTTTTTAACCACCTACTGTAAATATTTTTACAAGATAAAAGTATACACAAAAAAATAAAGTTTAAACTTTTAAAGGAAGAAAAGAACTCGTTTTAGAATGTTTTCTTCTAGAAAATGCTTGATATTGTTTCTCTGTTCTTTTTTTCTTTCCGTTTTTTTATTTTCATAACTTTAAAGTTTTAATAATCAATACCATATACCTACATCATTAAATTTACATTAAATATATGTAAAAGTGTAAATGTGTTATAAAAATAAATAAAAGACACACAAAAAAATAATTTTGTAATGTGGGTAGTATAACTAAGGTCTTGCGACTCTAAATAAAATAACAGAAATTCCTAAAAAGGTCTTTTTCGACGCAACTTAAGAAAAAAAAGTTTAGAATAACTTGGTTCATCTCATTAATAAAGTACATCTTTGATAAAAAATACTTTCAGGAAATGAATGACAAAAAGTTTTCTCTTTTCAATCGTTTAAAACGGGCATCCGATCATAAATCTGATTTTTTTGTAATAGTTTAAAACTCGAACCCAAGCTCCAAGTGACTTTTTTCACGCCAACAAAAACTCATTTACTGTAAACAACTGAATGGCAACCCTCTCGCATAATTTATCCCTTGTTTTTTTTTTATCGTGAAGATGAAAAAAAAAACAGGGGGTCAATTATAAAAGTAAGGAGAAACTAAATTTAAAAAAATATCATAAAATGTTGGGTAGGTAAGTTAAAAACGTGGGTACTTTTATGGAGGTGAAGGGAAACCAGTATAAATAAATTTTTAAATTTATAAATATAATTAACTTGCATAAATTATTAAACATCACTGCATCCCTAAGGTACCAGAGGAGATGCAATAGTCAAAGAGGGTACTCTTTTTTTTTTGTTTAAAAAATTTCTTTATTTATTTGCATCTCTCTACTGTCATTATTATTTAATTTTTATACATATATAATTTTAAATATATTTATTGTTAATATAACAATAAATAATTTAATAATAATAAAATATGTAACACTTTTTATTTAAAAGTAATTAAATATTATTTTACTAAGATTGTAATTTTTTTTTTGTATTATTTATTATTATTTTTTTTTAATATGGAAATGATACAACGGAGATAAGACTTTTGACTTCTGCTTGTTCCGTTTACATCTTAACTAAAAAATATTGTAAATAATTTGAACATGACGAAAACAAATTAAAATATAACATGTGATACCTAGAAATCCGGACGAAACTTAAAAACTTATAACTTTAAGACTAAAGGTACATTTTTATTTCTGTAAAAAGATAATTAAAGTTAAGCATATGAAGCTTCAGATTTAAAAAAATTATAAGTTTATCATGCCATGCTTGCGAACTTTGTCTACTCCGCTGAAAGAAGCCTTGCCAAGTCGATGTACGCGATCTTGACTGATCCGTTTTATGCAGTAGTTGATCCTGTCAGTGACCTGGTCCACGGTTTTCGCTCTCCAACCACGACCATATACTCTTTATTTGATTTCTGACCAAAAGTCTTTGATTGGTCGGAGTTTTGGCACATTAGCAGGGTTGCGCTCCTAAGGTACGAATTCGATGTTATTCGCTTGGAGGAGCTCCTGCATCTTCTTTGCGTAATGAGACTTAGCGAGGTCAGGCCAGAAAACGATCGCGTTGTTCTTATGAACTGTTTCGATGAACGGAATCAAGCGCTTCATCAAGCACTTCTGGATGTAGGCATCTTGATTGATCGCTTGGCCCGAAGGTGTCACCAGGTGCTTCGACAGGCTGTCCTCGGACATAGTTATCCAAACAAGCACCTTTGGCTCAAACTTAGACTTGCGCTTGAGTTTAACAGCTTCTGGAGTTATTTCGACGTCAGACGTGTAGAAAATAGCGTTTCCAGATAGCTCGTTATTGCTCAACGAAAAATAGGACTCGTTGTCGATGATCACCTTCTTTTTCCAGAAAACTGTGGCCAGGTGAGCACATTTCGGACAAACGGCTGACTTCTATTGCGGAGTTCAATCCGAAACTTTTTTTGATTGTTGTCTTGGTGCTAATTGTTTTTGATATGTGCTTTTGGCTGACACCATACTCGCGGACTAGCTGGAGCTGGCTAACTACGTCACTATGATCGATTCGCTTTTTCAGCATGGTGATTCGCTTTGTGGTCATCTTGATTGCCACCCATCCAGTTTCACGCTGTCTTTCAGGGCCTATTTTGAGCGTCTTGTACTACATAATATCATACAGGGTCAACCTTGATGCGCCTTCGATCATGAAGTGTCTCACAATCTCACTTTTCTTCATATCCGGATGCAAATCGATTAACGTGTACACGCGCTTTTTGAGGTCTTCTTGTTTTGAAATAATTTTCTTTGCCATTACAAATAAATGTTTGCTAAAAGATATATTGCAATTTATAGAGAATTAAATTTACTACAACATAACATAAGCTACAACAATTTTGCAACACTCCTTAAACAATTAAAAACCGTTATAAAAAATGCACCCGTATTAATTCTGTAAAAGTTACAATTTCTTGTTAAGTTTTATAACATATCGTTAACCTTTTTTATTTTTAGTTTTTTTAAATTTAGCCTTAAACTCTGACTAGTTTAGGAGAACTTGCTTGAAACTGTTAATATTTTTTGCTGACACAGCATGTTTTGCAGTGCATTTATATATTTTTTAAAACGTTTTTTTTTTTTTGGTGAAGCAAATTGTTCATTTTTAAACAAGCTTTATTATATCACATCTAATAATTTATCTATAACCAATTTTTAACGCTTTATCTATGACACTATTTTTAACGCTGTAAAATATTTATCAGGCAAAGGTATAGGCAATATAAAATACCATGTAACAGGGAAACTAATGCATGATAAAATACCAGGGGGAGGGGGCAGAGCCTTAGAGTCAAATATTGCAAAAGAACTAGAGTTTGATAAAGACATTTGTTATCTTTTTGAACATTGATAAAAAAATTTAAAAAATGAAGAAATCTACATTGATGAAAACATTGAGTGAAATTAAAAAACAAACAGTTAAGCTTCGACCACTTGACCATTCCAACGCGTCATTAAACCAGTATTACTTTCGTTCAACTTCTCAAACAAAGCTAATAAATCAGAGCCTGCTAAATCTAAAGTACGATGTGCAGTAGGACCACCCATATCTGTTTGAACCCAACCTGGGCAAAGAGAGGCGACTAAAATCTTTTCAGATTTTAATTCAAACGCCAATGTTTTAGTCAGCATGTTGAGTGCAGCCTAAAATAAAAAATAAAAACTGTTAAAATTAAGTTTATTATTAAAAAAAGTTTTTTTTTTATTTTCAGATTTTAGATTTTTTTAAAATTTATTAAATTTAAAAAAAATTTAAAATAGTTTTTTAAAATGTGGTTTTCCCCACATTTAAAAAAAATCTAAATAGTTTTTAAAAGTATGGTTTTCCCCCCATGCCGGAAAAAAAGGACCTTAACTTAAAACTTCATGGTTGTTGAAACTTTAAATTTACTGTAAATATTTTAATCACTTAACATTTGATTTACAAATGTAAATATTTACAAAAGTGATTAACATTGTTGCAACAAATGTGCAAGTTCATACATAACGGATAGCTGTTATTAAGGGAACATACGGATATCCGTTATTATTATTATTATTATTATTATTATAAATATTATTTCAAGACTCCAAAGTATGCTATAATGACTACTAAGAAACTTCATATACAAAAAAAAAAGTTAAATTTGAAAGCAAAGTATTGATATTGTTTGCAATTTGTCCCAATTTTAAATAAAAAAAAAATTTGATTTTATTCAAACTCACCTTTGACATTCTATATTCGATAGGACTTGAAAATGTAGCCTCAGAGATTGAGCCTAATGTTGATGATATATTTAAGATTGCAGCTCGAGAGACACTGATTTCATTCTCAGTGCTTTCAGTTGCTGCTTTTTTTATCAATGGAAGAAATTTCTAAGATAAAAAATCATTCATTTATTAATCAAAATTTGCACTTATAATTATCACAAAATTATTATATTATATTATATTATATATATATATATATATATATATATATATATATATATATTATATATATATATATATATATATATATATATATATATATATATATATTAAAATACCGTCATAACACGTAGTGTTTTGACGGCATTTTAATCACAACTGAATTAACTGATGCAAAACATTAAAATTGATGCAATATTTTAAAACCTTTAATACATGTTATACACCTCATATTATGTAATATAGGGTGTTACAACTTTTGTGCTATACAAATAAGTTTTAAAAAAAAGACAATTAGGTATAATTATATTCATATATATATATATATATATATATATATATATATATATATATATATATATATATATATATATATATATATATATATATATATATATATATATATATATATATATATATATATATATATATATATATATATATATTTATATATATATATTTATATATATATATTTATATATATATATATTTATATATATATATATATAAATTTACATATGAACTTTTTTTCTCTAAGAATAATAAATAAACGGAACCCTCTTCCTAATGACAAGGTATCAGCGTTATCTCTAAAAACATTTAAGCTGCTTCTAGACAATCTAAAAAATGAATGGCTTCTCTACGACTAACATTTATTATCCACATTTCATTTTCTATTAGTTATACAAACTCTGTTAATAATTGTCAAGTATTATATAACTAGGTTGACAGACAGTTTATGCCTATACAATTTATTGTAAAACCTTAATGTTATAAAATTCTATTAAAAGAAAAAATTATTTGACTATTTTATTATCATATTTTTTCTTTCTTTCTTTTTTCTTTTTTTTTTTTTTTTTTGAAAATTTCTTTTTAATTCATTTAATACATTTCAATTCCATTTTATATAACTATTTTGTATATATATTAATCATGAATAAGATTTTTTGGGTAAAAAAAAAAAAAAAATTTTTATAATTATAAAACAAATTTTTCCTTTAAAGTCAAAGAGTATTTCAAACTTTGATTTCCTTAGAGATTTTGCAAATAAATTGCAAATTTTTGTTTAATGTTTTAGTAATGTTTTAGATAACATTTTCAAAAAACAGAAAGTTAAAAAGACAAAAGACTTGAAAACTTTATTTTTTAGTCTTTTGTCATTCAGAGTCATGTAATCATCATAAATACCAAGTCAACTGAGGGATAAGTCATAATTGTGTAAACTGTAAATGTAGTAAAAAAATGGTGAGCCTGATAATGGGAGGTAACCTTAGAAGATGCTAATTTTAAAATTGATTGTATATATGATTTTTATAAGAGGTCTGTAGCGAAGAATAATCCAAGAAAAAGAAAAATAGAAGACTGAGTAAGATAGTTGTCATTGATCAAAATATCAAAATTTAATTATAATTATTATCATTAAACAGAGTTTTTTGACTTTTTAGGTTAAAAGTCACTATCTACTGAAAGTCCCAAATGAATAATTACATTCAAGATTAAGTACATATTCTGAGCAATCAAAAAGTGACGATACTTTGTCAAGACTGGAATAAATGGATGTGTCACCAGTAAATAAAGCAAATTTAGAGGTAATATTATCAAGAAGATCATTAATAAGGTAACGAAAGGATTAAGATCAGAAATGAAACTATGTGGTACCCCAGAAGTTACTGAAAATGAAGAAGTGTGTTGTCCATGTAGGACATCTTAAAGAATGTGGTTAAAAATGAATAATTCAATAACTTAAAAATTTTTTATAGATACAATATATGAAGTAAGCTTATGTTCTCCAGAAAGTTGTTCTTGTGAAAAAGAAAAAAAAATGCTTATGAATTAAATAATAAATTAATGGAGATAATGATTACAGCTAGCAGAAGAAAATATAAGTGTTGGAGTGAGGTTTGAAGAAATAAAAGCTCACATTAACAGAACTCGACTTAATCATAGATAGGCATAAGTCTAATCGCAAATAACATCAACATCGTATAAAAGGACATCTGAAATTTTCTGCTTAATCCTAAAGTCTTTGCATAGGAGGTCTACTGCAAGTCAGTAGCTAGATGCAGGTAACATCAGTCTAGGATGAATATTTTTATAAAGACTATCATTGCTTGCTTTAACTCACCCAAGAACTCTAAGACAGGGGGTACTTTAAGCCGGAGTTAACTTCTTTTAGCCTTTGCCTATAAAAGGGTATACACTCTTCATCAACAATAATCACAAAAAGATTGATAAGGGAGACATAATTACATCACAAGTTGTAGAATCTTGAAAAGTGATTTTATAAAACTTATTACACAGATACTGATAGTTTCTGTATGTGCTTCTTTTCACTGCTAGTTATCAAATATATATTATATATATATATATATATATATATATATATATATATATATATATATATATATATATATATATATATATATATATGTGATATAAATGGTAGTTACCAGAGTTTATTAGGCGCCTAATACTAAATCTCACATTTTTATTAAACAATTAGTAAGTATCTTGGTGTTGCATGAAGAAATGAATTGTGTGTTATCAATTATTTTTTTAAATCCGATCAGTTTACTGAACCAAAGCCAACTAAGCGCTTGAGTAGTACTTTGGTACGCAAAAATGTCGGTCAATAATGGACGCTACTTTGGATTAGTCTTAATGACTATATGTGGCTGTTCCTATACTAAGTCAACAATATCCTTGGGTATAAGAATATTGTATAGAAAAATATAGCATAAAAATTCAAATAAATAAAAAATGTACTCCTAGACTGTTTTAGGTGTACTTCTGGGGTACCATAAGATTTAATTTTATGTCTTCTACTTTTCATCATTATATTTTATGATTTCAAAAAATATCTTTATTGATAAAAACATTAAAATTGCTCCACCATTAAATATGTAAACGATTTAGTGACCTATGTTGCTGGTAAATGTCAAAATATTACTGAAATCTGATTTGAAGTTGATTTTTAATTAATTTAACATAAACAATTTGATCATAATTTTAAATTAAAGAAAATCAACAATGTTTGAAGTCCTATGGTTTAGTGATGTTGAAAGCTAGATGCTTTCAAAAATAACATCACTAAACCATAGGACCACAATATATATTTTACTAAATAATAAAAATACCTTAGCTGCAACCTGATTCAAAATTAGGCAGCCAAGATAATATTAAACAAGTTTTTAACAACTTATTTAAAAAAAGCTAATATGCTGAGCTTAGTATAAAGGATCAAACTTACAGTTTCGTTGAATAGACACATTAATAATTTTAATTTTTAAATGTTGTAAAACAATTTTTAATATAACATTGAAGTTCAAGTATCCTGAATTAACGTTTATTTAAATATATTAAATATTTCTATATGCTATATTTTTGGGCATACTCTATACTAATATTATTTAAAATACTTTATCTTTTTATTTGATTAATATTGATAGCTTTTTTAATTATTGTTATTTTTCTTATAGAATTTAATATTTATACTTTTTCTATTTTAGTTACAAGATTTTTTCACTTTTTTAAGTTATTTCTTATGCTTTATCTTTTCTTTTTTTATCTCTCTAGTTTTCAACCACCTCTTGATGACTCAACCACCTTTTTTTTGCCTAAAGCTGTTGTATTATAGTTTTTGAGTTAGTTTTTTTTCATTATGTATTTGAATCAACCTGAACTAAATTTAAATAAAAACATGATAAAATACAAAAAAAAAAAACATTGCCTGTGTGACAAGAGCTGGTCCAATTGAGTTTGTGAGAAAAACTTCTTTGCAGTTATCTGCAGAAAAATCTACAAATGAAGAACGATAGAGAATTCCAGCATTATTGATTAAACAAGTCAACCCAGAGCCATTAAGTAAAGCTGAAACTTCTTCAAATGCACTTTTAATTGAATCCTCGTTTGTTACATCTGGAAATGAAAAACAGATTTTCATTATTGAAAAAATACTAGACCCATAAAAATAGAGGTCTTTGTAAGTCTATTCCACACAGACCTTTTCTATGTGCTAGCTGTCCAGACCTGTAAAATATAGGTTTTTACCAAACTAATATTTCTATACTAATCTATTCCACACAAATCATTTCTATACTTATTCCTTATTTACTTCAATATTGTCAAACTTATTATGACTAATTACCTGAGCAAAATTATCTCTATCATGACATATACGCAACAAATTTCTCATGGTGTTTTGATGTTTTGACAAATTTTAAGTTTGTTAAAACATTTGCATATGTATATATATATATATATATATATATATATATATATATATATACATATATATATATATATATATATATATATATATATATATATATATATATATATATATATATATATATATACATATATATATATATATATATATATATATATATATATATATATATATATATATATATATATATATATATATATATATATATATATATATATATATATATATATATATATATATATATATATATATATATATATATATATATATATATATATATATATATATATATATATATATACAGCAATCCACATCAGAAACATTCCGAGCTAACCACTTCAGCCATTAAAGGGTATTGTACAAATAATGTTTGAATAGTATTTTTATTTAAAACAAAAGACTTAAATATATGCTATAAATAAATGAAAACTACGAAGATTGTGCAGCAATGCAATTTTCAAGAAAACTTTAAAACTTTAATATTACATAACTTGAAGTTTACATAAGTGAGATATTTACATACACTTTTGTTCACTTTTTCTTATAAAAAAAGCAACTATTGCGACTCTTTCTTGCCATAAGCTAGGTTGCAATGGCTACCAAGAGCTTAGTGTCAAACACCTTCAAGAGCACTACTATTACTACTACTACTACTACTACTACTACTACTACTACTACTACTACTACTACTACTACTACTACTACTACTACTACTACTACTATTACTACTACTACTACTACTACTACTACTACTACTACTACTACTACTACTACTACTACTACTACTACTACTACTATACTACTACTACTACTACTACTATTACTACTACTACTTCTACTACTACTACTACTACTATAACTCTAAGTTTAATTAAAATTCTATTTTAAGACATAAACCTAAAAAAATATTCTTTAAATCTTTACTTACCAAGTGCAACAACTTTCACATTATCATGATTTGATGCAAAGTTTTTTAAATCCTAAAATAACATGCTTACCATTATTATCACACAAAACACACAAAATCACACACACATAAAAGCACACTGTTATAAATTACAAATGCACAAAAGCACACATTCACAAAACAGTAAACAAAACAAACTCCCGAGGGGGAGGGAAGAGTAGGACTTATTAACAAAACCTATTATTTAGTAATTACAACATCAAAATTTACCATCAAAAATAAGTAACCTAAGTATAAATACTTGTTAACCAACAAAGATGTTTTCTTTTTAAAAAATAAAAAAATCTAAAAAAATCTTTTTTTTAATTATATCAATATATTTTGATATAATAATTAAATAAAGGTGTTTTCTTCTCTTCTATAATTCAACCAACACATTCAAACCCTAAGTCAGATAACATCTTCATACTTATATCATAACAAACTACCTTCATTGATAACATCTAAATTCAGACTTATGTATAATGATGGCAAACCATTGCAAGATTTCAGAATAAAAAATAATAGGTCTCAGAATTTTTTATGCGTTTTAATAGTGTTTTTTTTCTTTATGTAGTTCTCTTAACATTTTTAAGGCTCCTAGACACTAAGAGACCAAGAGCGAGTAGCAAAACTTTGCCTGTGGTATTTTTTTTTAACCAAAATAAAGAATTTCATATTGTTGACCTCTATTTGTTACTGCAGAATAAAATTTTAACATTTTTAAGGCTCCTAGACACTAAATGACCAAGAGCAAGTAGCAAAACTTTGCATGTGGTATTTTTTTTTTTACCAAAATAAAG